GTCCGGCTCCCCGTGTTAATGGTGCACGGGTAGCCACGTGTGGGTGTGAAACAATCTCAGAGTCACACCAAAGCCTGGGCAACGGGAGCTGTAAATGGCATGAGGGTGTGAGCCAGGGGTGGTATTTGCTTTCTCTCCTCCACCTCCCCCCCCCCCCAGAGGAACAGTGATGTATATTTAACTGACATGTGAGGCTGGCTCTGGGTAAATGTTTTATCGCCTCTTCCTTTGCAAGGGGGAAGTGTTTGCTCAAGCCGGGGCATCTCCACCCTATTCCCATGGGAATCAAACCACACCAACCGCGGAAGTCAGCCAGCGGCAAGCCTTCTCCTCAGCTCCTTCTGACTCGCCCACCCCAGCCCCAGCCTGGACAGCTCCCCACAGTTCACCCGAACCTTGTCTTCCCCCTGTTCTCGTGGCAGGCCTCCTCTGGGGGTGGAGAAGGGCCAGCGGAGAGATGGGGGTGGGGACGGATCCATCCCTGAGGAACCCCACCTGAGTGGGGATAGGGCAATGGGTGTGGCCGGTCGTGGGTGGGAATGAGCAGTGTGAGTCTGTCTCCGCTGGCAAGAGGGAGTCACTCACCAAGCCACCTCACCAGTGTATTGTCACTGATCGGCCAGGCGGCTCCCATGGCGTGACCCACCGCCTGCCCTGCACCCCCCACCCCAGCCTTCCCCGAGCTCGCTGCACGGGTTCTACCAGCAAACACACCCCAGCTACCCAGCCAATCGGTTCAACTCCCTTCTTCGCTGCCCTAACCGCCAACTCCCCCGGCCAATCAGCACTCGCCCCGTTACTTAGTTCCCTCGCTGTTCGCCAATCAGCTCTCGGTCTCTTTCTCCTCGACCCAATCCACTCCCGGACACCCTCACCCTCGCCCAATGGCGGGGGGCCGGGGCCATAAAGCTGCACTCTGACGCCTCCTTTTGGGTAAACAGTGTCAAGGTCAGAGCACGTCGTTGGCTGCAGCCGTAAATCTTTATTGCACCCCCCTTCGTAGGCCCTGCCAGACACGGAAGGTTCCATAACCCATCCCTTTATGGTGGGCCGCTAATGATTAACTCCGCTGGTGCTGGAGCGCCCCCGGGCAGGGGGAAGGGAGAGACCGTAAAGGAGGGGGTTGCTCATGCACAAAACATAGGCATCCGTCCCTCTTCCAGGGCACAAGGCAGGGGGACGCTCTCTCTTTGGGGAGACCACGCCCCACAGCCCAGAATTCAGTGCCCCCTAGAGCGGAGTAGGTGAAAGCAGGTGAAATCTCTGCACTGCTCCCCCCTCCACGTAAAACGCTAAGTAGGCCGCGGTCATCTGAGGGTGTTATTCCTCGGGCCCCTTCCCCTCAGCCAGGGCCGGCTCCAGGCACCAGCCTGGGAAGCAGGTACTTGGGGCAGCCGCTCCGGAGAGGGGTGGCACGTCCAGGTATTCGATGGCAATTTGGCGGATGGTCCCTCACTCCCGCTCGGAGCAAAGGACCTCCTGCCGAATTGCTGCCACAGATCGTGATCGCGGCTTTTTTTTTTTTTGGCTGCTTGGGGCGGCCAAAACCCTGGAGCCAGCCCTGCCCTCAGTGTTCACAGCCCTCTTCCAACAGGCCAGCCGGCAGGTTTGTCCCTGGTGCACCTCCCACCGGTGCCTGGAGCCTGTGATTTCAAGCAGATGCTGTCCTCCAGCCGGCCATGAGGCAGGGGTCACGCTGTAGGGAGCCCAGACCATGTCAGAGGCAGGCGCTGGCCGGGCAGTGACTATCCAGGCAGCAGCCCCGGTGTGCACAGTGACAGCTCACCTACAGCCTTGGGATGACTGACACGAACACCAGGGTGTGCCTCAGCGCAGACGGGACAGTGCTTGTGTTTGTAGTTACCTCCGGGAGGTCCAGCAACGCAGAAAGGAGATGATTTCATTCTTATTTCAGTGTCATGTTATCTTATCCCCGCTTGTTTCAGTTGCATAACATTCAGCAGCCCCAGACATAGACCAGGGCCCCGGTGCACTAGGGACCATACAAACCCAGAACAAAACAACGGGCCCTGCCCCAGAGCTGCCAAGCTAAGCAAATCTTTGGAAGAACAGCATCTCTAGTGTGGCAGCGCCCTCTGTTACTGCACTGCCTTGGGCCGGAGCCCAGAATCCACGCATTGCCAGGCCAGGTTGCCAGCAACTGTGTCCCACGTGCAGCCGGCTAGGAAGCATCCATTTCCTTTGCCCGAGATGCTGCAGATTGCCGTGTGCCATGAAGCAATCCGTGCGAATGCAGCCTGGCTCTCCAGCTGCCCCAAGCAAAGGGAGGCCAGGGGAACAGTCGCAGGCGCGGTGTTGTTGGGGCAGAGCATAGGCAGCGAGGGTACCGGCTGTCTGAACGGAGAGGAAATGGGAGAAATACCAACCATAGCCACAGCCGAGCTAAAGCTGTTTTAGTCTCCAGGGCTGGGAGTTGCATGCTGGGGACCTGATCCTGAGCGGGGCTGAACCCCCCTCAAATCCCAGTCAGCTCAGTGGAAATTCATGGATTTCTAGAGTTTAAGGCCAGAAAGGACCAAGCTTATGCCTAGATTGCCAGCCCCTCAGGACAGGGCCCGTCTTTTTGTTCCGTGTTGTACAGCGCCTAGCACGACGGGGTCCTGGTCGGTGACTGGGGCTCTTAGGTCCTATGGTAACCCAAATAATAAGAATTAGCTCATGTAGTCTGACTTCCTGTATATCCAGGGGACAGCATTTCACCCAGTTAGCCCCATAGCTTGTGTCTGACCGAAGCCTAGCTAGCTAGCTCAGGGCTCTGTGCAGGCACCCAATGCTGCCCCTCTCCGGCTCGGGGTCTGAGCTGCAGCAGCCGGGCTGGGATCAGGCAGGGAGGCGAAGGGAAGACCCTCATTGCTGGGGCCCCTCCGTCTCTGGGAGCAGGGAGGAGGATTGTGAAAGTGGAATGAGTGCGGAAGGCTCGACGCACGAGGAAAGCAAATGGTGACCCAGTGGCAAGTGGGGCAGGGCGGCCCCGACACAGAGCCACCCTCCCCCAAGTCGCTCGCTCTGGGCACCGGGCGCTGACTGTTGCCGGAGGGGCGGAGAAGGGAGCTCGGGACGTCGGGGTGCTCTGGGGGTTCCCAGCTGTCCTCAGTGTGGCGTTCCGCATTCCCTGGGGGAGGAGGAGGGAGCTGTCAGACAGGACAGCAAGAGGCATTAGAGCCGTTCCCTGGGCTCTGAGCTGAGCTGGCCTATCGACAGGGGCAGCAATTAGCAGCGTCACCTCCATTAGGCACCTGCCATAAAGGGGAAAACCAGAGCTCCGAGTGGGGGAATAGCTGCGTCTCTCTCTAGTGCCCACCATTAACCCAGTCTCGTGCGCACATGCAGGACGAGCAGCCGGCCAGCACGGGAATGTCTCGCTCCCAGCCGCTGGGGCTCGATGGCTGCCAGCCGCAGGTGCTGGGATACCTGGGACTCCAGAGGGAGGCAAGAGCTTTATTTCATCATAATCGTATTTACACTCATTGTCCCGTCCCCCTGCGGGCGCACCCACACCAATACACGTTTGCTGTGGCACTGAGGAAGGGAGCGGCATGTGGGAGATGCAGAAAGGACCCCAGGAGGTGCAGGGGTCAGTTACATGCTGTCCTTGGGCAGCGCACAGGTGGGTGGCCTGTCTCTTCCCAGTCTTCAGCGCAGAAAGGAACTGAGATGAGACAGGACTGCCAGGCAGGCCCGGCCTAACTGAGCAAGGGCCACCAGCCTGCTCCTTGGCTCACAGGACTCTCTGTTGGCATGCTGGGAGCTGGCTGTCGTGCGTGGGCAAAAGATGGCAGAGCCGCTCCGAGAGCACTTTCCCTTTCTGGACCAGCTCCCCAGCCATAGCTTTGCCTCCTTGTCCCACCCCTACTGAATTGCCTCTCTCGCTGGTGCTGCCTTTTCCTGGATTGCAGGGGCTGTTTCTTGTGTATTTATCTTCTTCAAGGCAAAGGTCCCAGGCGGGAAAGTCTGCAGGGCTTTGGTCAGCACGGCCATTGCATGTACAGTGGGACAGAGTAGCTGCCTGCAACATGGTGACTCTCGTAAAGCCACCAGTGCTAACGATTGCATTTAGCACTCAGCACGCGGTACCACAAAACTTGGTTTGCCCATGAAAGCCATCTACACTCAAACCCAATCCAGTCCAGGATAGACCTCGGGAACACGCAGCCCTTCAAAACCCAGTCCAGATTGCCCTGGACTCCAGGGGATGCAATAGCCCTCAGGAAGTGGGGAGGTTCGATTTGGATACACACATGGAGCTGAGCTATTGGCACTGGAGAAAGGCTCAAACCGTCAAATCCAGGTCCAGACAGAGACTTTAAGCCCACGTGGAGGTTGTTGGGACCTGGGGCTTGGCTGAGCCCCACTGTAATGATAAAGGGCCATTTTCAAAATTCAGCCCTGGGTTCAGAGGTGTTTGGCTCTGCTCCATCTCGAATACAGCCTTGGAAATCAGCTGGAAGGACCCCCAAGCACAGCCTTTCTGGTGGTACGTTGGTGTGTTTGCTTCTGGTCTCCCTGGGTACGTCTACACAGGCATAAAAGACCCATAAAAGGTCTGGGTCAGCTGACTCTGGCTCACGGGGCTTGGGAGGCAGGGCTACAAATTTCTGTGTAGACATTTGGCCTCGTGTTGAAACCCCAGCTCTGGGACTCTGTACCCTTGTAGGGTCCCAGAGCTTAGGCTCCAGCCCAAGTCTGAACATCTACACAGCGATTTTTCAGCCCTGCAGCCCAAGGTCCCATGAGCCCGTCAGTTGAGCCGGGCCAGTCGTGGTTTTTTATCCCTGTGAAGACGTACCTGCTTAGAAGCTGGCTGTGCAGAGGATCATGAATATGAAAAACAATGGCCCAAGGGCCTCCATGGAGCAGCTCTCTGGGTGGTTATGGGAGATGATGCATTGGGCTCAGTGACCTCTAGGAATGAACCAGTAGGTTTGGGACCTGTGTTCAGGTTGGTTTGAGCTCAGGTTAAGGGAGAAGTTTTGGTCCTTCAATGCTGTGTCTGAAACACGGCTCAGCTCGAAGTGGAAATAACCCTTCTCCCCCCCCAAGGTGGCGTCTAGCCACTACACAACTGGTGCTTTACTAATGCGAGAGCGAGCGAGCTGGGGAGCCGTCAGTAACCAGCCCATTTCAAGCCCAGGGTGCAGTGAAAACAGCACTCACCGAAGGGTGAATCTTCATTTGTTTGCAATGTTACATCGATGACACACGCACACTCGAGAACACACGTCACAGTAGGCGAACACGGGATACACTACAAACCACCACGGGGGCAGCTTAGGTATTGAACGGCTGCTCCTTCAAAGAGGGTGCCCTGCACCCTCCATGCACAACAGCACCGGCAGGAGCTGAGCTGCTGACGCACCGACGCACAAACACACACCGGCTGCCAGGACCCTGCGGGACAGGCTGGCAAAGCTGGAAATCACAGGACACGGAATCATGCCGCCAGGAGCCACTGATGCCCTGGCCTCCAACCCTGAGGCTGTGGCTACGCTGGGCGAAGAGAGACGTACCCACGCCAGCTCTGCTCACGCTAGTGCGCTAACAGTACCAGAATAGCCGCAGCAGTGGGAAGGCCTAACAGCCTCACGTACAATCCTGTGGGAGACCCTCAGCACATATGGGGGTGGGCAGCTACCCCCTCCCGCTGCTCGCGCCACTGCAGCTACCCTGCTGTTTTTAGCGCACTACCTCTGATTGCGCTAACATGGGATTGCAGCCCCAGCTTGAAGTGCAGACATCCCCGCACTGCAATGTGGACCTGTGAGCCTGCCCTTGAGCCACCACACTGCATTGAAAACCTGGGTTCACAGCTGCTGGACGCGGGTCCCTCAGCCGTGCAAACGCTTCCATGCTGCGCTACGCAGACCTTCTGACTCGGGTCTGCGGCTTGACCTGCAGCCACACTGCAAATTGCCAGGGCTTGGACCCACGTCACAGCAGATCGCAGGCTCTGACCCACTCCCCTAGCAGGGTCCTAGGCCCCAGGTCAGACTGATTTGTGTGAGGACAGAAGTGGGACTTGGGCTCAAACCTGATTCCGAGCCCAGGCGTAGGTTACGTCTACACAGCAAAGCGCCTAGGTCAATTGATGCAGGGTTCAAGCTGTGGGCTAAACATAGCAGTGTAGATGCTCGGGCTTGGGCTGGAACCCGGGCTGTGAAACCTGGCAACAGGGGAGGGTCTCATATCTCGGGTTTCAGCCGGAGTCTGAATGTCTACACTGCTCTTTTGAGCCCCGCAAGCCCGAGTCAGTTGATCGAGCTCTGAGACTCGCTGCCACAGATTGATGGATTGATTTTTGCTGTGTAGATGCACTCACAGCGCACAGGGTAGCCATACCCTCAGACTGCTGAGGGAGGAAGGTGTGGAGAGCTGCATGTAGCATAGGGTGAGCAGAAGACTTGATTTTATAGGGACAGTCCTGATATTCGGGGCTTTGTTTTATATAGGCGCCTATTCCCCCCACCCCGTCCCGATTTTTCACACTTGCTATCTGGGCACCCTACTGTAGGAATTGTAAGAGGCCATATGGGGAGAGGACTTCCTGGAGACTTTGACAAGTCAGGACATTCCTGGAGCTATACTCCATGTCATGCAAGCACTGATTGCCAGGCCAGGGTTTTCCTATTGCCATGTGAGATAAGGGGCACCCCCCAAAAAACGTCAATAACCAGGACTACAAGGGGAGGTGATCTGTGCCCACCTTGAGTGGACTCTGGTACTGGAGGAGAAAAGTGGGACTGGATTTCTGTCCCTGCCTGGAGAAGACTCTGGAGCGGAGGCAGCCCCTCAGCATGGGGTCTCTGTGCCCAGCGAGTGGGATCTCGCAAAGATCCCATGCAGAGAGGTTTTTTCCATTCCTTTCTGTGAAGTTATTTTAGTAACACTTCCAATAGCTCCTCATTCATAATTCACGGGGTAGTCAGCCCAGCACAAGCGCTGCAGCAATGCCAGAGAGCGCCTGGCTGGTCCTGCTGCCTCCTTCGCTCAGGGGCGAGTGGGCCGATCCCGTCGCATTGCAAACTAATGGAAAAAACACACGGCGATCACGACAAGTGGGCCCCCCTGGCCCGCACTCTGCTCCCAGGGCGTGTGACCGGAGGGCACTGCTGAGATTAGCCATCGCCCCCTTGGGCCCTACTCTGCTCCACCCTGGGCGGGAATAGGGGAGGGACAGCCACAGCCAGAGGCTCTGCTCCATCACCAGCTGCAGTCCACGGCGGGGTTTACCTGACACCGCCTCACCCCGAGGTTCTGAACTCACCCAGAGTGCAAATGGCCCCTCTTAAGAGCAACCTGCAAAAGACTGATTTATCACAGACCCAGGGCCAGGTTTGACCTTTCTCTGCCGTGCACAGAAAGGCCTGGGAGGGGGCAGGTTGGTTTGTTTTATAACATGGGCTTTCTTTTCCCTAGACTCATTTATCAAGAATGGCCAATCTGGTCTTCCCTTCCCAGAGGTGGGACGCACGGGCACTCACACCCCTCCACTGACAGGGCGGGGTTAACAAAGACATCCTTTCTCCACAGTGTTCGTGTGTCATTGGAGTTAAACAGGATTAGCAACAACAAACAACACCAACAACTACTAGCCTTGTTCTCCACTGCCTTGCTCGCTGATGCCGGGGCAAAAGGAGTGCAAAGGGGGTGCGTGTCGCAGTCTTTACACAGGGGTCAGTGAGTCATAACTCTGGGCGGAGGGCCCCCAGGCAGGCTGGGGCAGGCCTGGAGCAGGGTAGGGTCCGGGCAGCTGGTCCCAGACACTGGAGAGCTAACACACACATTCATTACACAGCTTGCCACACTGAACGAAAATCTCAGCAACACTGGAATTCTCAGCAGCGTTCTCCTGGAGAGGCCAGGGCGTCCCGTGGGATGCTGGAAGGTCAGCAACTCGCAGCTGCCTTTAGAAAGGCCTGTTAACCGGCCCGAAGTGCCTAAGTGCAACTGTGCAAGTTCAGGGGTGCAGTCCCCCATTCTCTGCTCCCCACCGGGTTCGTGGCCTCCTCACATCATGGACTCCTCTTCCTCCTCGATCTCCCTGTCCACCTCGATGGCTGTGTTCTCATAGCTGGTAATTCCCCCGTATTTCCTCATGTGGACCATCAAGGGTTTGGGGGACTGGCTGCCGGCCAAGGTAGCCACGTACATGCCGGTTCTGTTCTCCTCCAGAGAAGGGCCCCAGTCCATGGCTGGCCGGCTGGCTTGCTGGATTCTCTGTGGTTGGAATCAGGAGATGAACAGGGATGTTAGAGAATCACCCGCTAAGGCTCAGCAGTGGTGACAGATCACCAGGTGAGCTCTTCATACAATGCCCCACCACCCACTGCTTTGGGCTAGACTCACTCCACAGCTACTGTCAGGGCATCAGAACCAACGGGGTCTGTAATCACATGGGGCACCAGACATCTCTAGCCAGCCCGGGGGGGGGCGCTGTAATCACATGGGGCACCAGACATCTCTAGTCAGCTCAGAGGGGGCCGCTGTAATCACATGGGGCACCAGACATCTCTAGTCAGCTCACAGGGGGGCGCTGTAATCACATGGGCGACCAGACATCTCTAGCCAGCCCACGGGGGGGCGCTGTAATCACATGGGGCACCAGACCATCTCTAGCCAGCCCACAGGGGGGCGCTGTAATCACACGGGGCACCAGACATCTCTAGCCAGCCCACGGGGGGGGCGCTGTAATCACATGGGGCACCAGACATCTCTAGTCAGCTCACAGGGGGGCGCTGTAATCACATGGGGCACCAGACATCTCTAACCAGCTCACAGGGGGGCGCTGTAATCACATGGGGCACCAGACCATCTCTATTCAGCCCACAGGGGGGCGCTGTAATCACATGGGGCACCAGATCATCTCTGCTGCCTGGGGCCGCTGTGTGTTTGGATCATGCCATTAACACATCGGGCACTTTGCTCACTGCTCGTTGGTTCTCAGGGGTAAAGGCACTCTCAGGAGCCGTGGGATCAGCACCCACAGGGGCTGCCTGTCTGCCCAAGTCCTGCAGCAGTGGCCGGAAGGGAGCTCCCGCCCCCCAGACCTGCCCCTCAAAGGGCTGCTCAGCTGGGCAGCTCAGGGGTCTGTGCTCTTCCTGTCAGGTCATGGCCTGATGCCCCTGAGGATTAATCAGCAGGATGAAAGGCTTTGGGGGAGGCAGCACTGGCTGGGGGGCGTGTAAGGAGGGGGAGGGGCTTCACCCTGAGAAGCAGCTTCCCACTATTATCCTCACATCTGTGTGATGAGAGCAGCAGCCTAGTGCAGGAAAATCACCACCCCCACCTGCCAGAAGTGCCATTGCTTTCATGAGTAATCACCAGCTCACAGCTGCAAGCCACCAGCAGAAGCCTCTGCTTGCACAAGAAGAGGAGGGGCCACTCAGGCACAGAGGGCAGGGATTGGCTGAACCACCCTTCCATTAAGGAGTGGAGAGGTGGGGATAGCCTTGTCCCACGGCATGATGGGAAGGCAGCTCAGTATAAAACCCCAGCAGTGTTCTAGCCAGATAGTTAGGGGAGCTGTTTATGGTCTATGGGGAAAGGGCTGAATTAAGTGGCTGTATTTGCTACGGTTTGTCCTAGGGGCTGTGGCCCTGCGATGCAGTAAGTAGGGACTGATAGGGAGTTTCCTTTTATTTTATTAGTCTGTATTAGAGACTGGGCCAAAGCAAGAACCCAGATTCATCCCTCCCTTGTGGCCAAAGCTGTAGAGAAACCTGGATCCGGGTGTAGCTTTGCCACTGGAGCTCTCAGTTGTGTGTTTTTCCTCCGTCAGGGAATGAGGAAATTCACTGACGGAATCAGACCTGCCTAGGATATTTACATGGTGCTATTTTGGGAGTGAGCTTGGTCATTTAACCTCAGGGGAGCAGGGGTCTGCCTCTCTTTGCAACAGGGTCTCTGAGAGCCTGGCTGGGTTCCACACTGGCACAGGGCACAAGTGAACTGAGCTCTAATCCTACTCCCTAGGGGGTGTTTGTCTGTCGCCCAGAGCCACCCGTCTCTGCTTCTGGGCAGGCAGGAAGGGTGTGGGCTTCTGGAGTGTGTTAACAGAGTCAGAAAGGCCGTTGCTATGGCTTGGTGTTATCTACAACATGAATGAAGTTCCTGTCAACAGGGAGGGAGAATGCAGCAAAATGTGCCCAGAAATAGCCGCAACTTCAGAGCATCAGCCAGAAACAGCTGATCAGACTGACCCCAGCTACTGCCAAACCTGGCTACCTGAGCCCATCCCAAACACAGCCATGGCCCTTGGTAGGAACAGGTGCTCAGTTGTTGCCCAAAGAGGTTGCTTTTGGGGCAACAGTGAGCCACAATGGGTAATGATTGTCTGACACTGCGGAGCCTTAAGCATGGACCCATTAAGGCTCAGCATTTGGACAGTTGTAGGGGAGTCCCACATCTGACCGAGTTAAAGGCATTTATTGTTTCTGAGTAGCAGCTGTGTTAGTCTGTATCCGCAAAAAGAAGAACAGGAGGACTTGTGGCACCTTAGAGACTAACAAATTTATTAGAGCATAAGCTTTCGTGGACTACAGCCCACTTATTCGGATGCATAAGTGGGCTGTAGTCCACGAAAG